TAATCGACCCGTAATGCCATAACCCTGGACATTGCGAAGAAGGCCGGCATGCCAAACCCTATCAAATGCTTTGGAGATGTCTAGTGCCACAGCTCGGGCTTCCCTGTTGGTTTGGAGAGCTCAGTAGACTGTTTCAGTGATGGCTGTAAGCACATCGGCTGTAGATCGGGCAGAGCGGAAACCATATTGCTTGTCTGAAAGCAGATTATGGGATGTGAAATGGTTAACCACCCCGGTATTGATTAGAGCTTCGAAGACTTTGCCGAAGAGGGGAAGGAGACTGATAGGACAGTAGTTGAAAGGGTCAGAGGGATCGCCGGAGTTCTTGAAGACAGGAACGATCGAAGAGGACTTCCAGCAGTCAGGAAAACAAGATTCCTTGAGGCAGTAGTTGTATCGTTTCGAAAGGGCGGGCGCTAGTTCAGGTGCGCATTTCTTCAGGACAATGGCTGGTATCCTGTCTCCACCACTAGCTTTGTTGGGATCTAAATTAGAGATAACGCCCAGTACCAAAGATGTGGTTATGTTTAACCCACTCAATATGGCCTCAGTTCTAAGAGGGAAGTCGGGTATGGGTACACCAGAAGAGTCAAGCGTAGAGTTGAATGAAAATTTCCGAGCAAAGCATTCAGCCTTGTCGGTAGAGGAGGTCAGGACTTTGAACTGGTTGAATAAAGGAGGTATAGAGGGTTTGCAATTGTTCAATACGCTCTTGCAGATTTGAAAATTTTAAAAAATTAAAACAATTCTTGTAAAAATTAATCATTCATCAAAAATTTTTTCTTCAGACAATAGTGTCCATAATATATTTTATTCCTAAAAGCAATTAAAAGATTTTCTAATTAAAGTCTTAGTTTTATTGCATTTTTTATTTTACAATTTGTATCAGATATTCAGTAAATGAAAGTCCTGTTCTACAAAAAAAAAAACAAAAAAAAATTTAATGATTTAAACTCTCCAAGGAGTTCTGCAGATAACTGATATCAATGTTAAGCTATACAAAAATTAATTTCTTGAAATTTCATAAAATTAAATAAGTGTGTCTTAATAGACATTAAAAAAGAAAAAAAAAAGTTTTTACCAAGATTTTCTGAAAAATAAATTATTTGTAAAATAATTTTATTTACTTATTTGTGAATAAGTTCTAAAAGTTCAATTAAAATCTGACAATTATTTGATTTTTGCAAGAATATTTTCAACACAAAAAAGACACTAAAATTCCAAATAATAATTTTTGCCCTTACTGACATAAAAAAAAAAAAATTTAACAAAAATTTCAAACATTCTAAAAAGAATCAAAAAAATATCATTTAATAATTAAAAAAGCAAAATAAAGCAAAAAAAAAAAAAAGAAGCTTTTTTCCCTCTTAATAATAACAAAGATTTTGACAATAAAACTGTTTTTATTACGCGAGTGGAATTTTTCATCATGTATGCTCATTTTTAGTGAATCACTGGAGTGAGCTACTTTATGTGTGAAAACATAATTGTTAACAGCTAAACAAAATATCAATTTCATATAAGCCATCATTTTTGACATTGTTTTAAACCAGAGCATATGTGCATACACACACACATTTTGTAATTATTACTATAAACATCATTTTTAGTGGGTACATGCATTTAAGTTTATATCTTTTTTATTTTATTAAACAGTCAAATTAGTATCAACCAGTGTAGATCAAAAAGTACTACTAAAAAAAAAAAAAAAAAAAAAAAAAAGAAAAGTGCCTCCCAAAAGAAATCGTACCTGTCTTCCCTTTTTTCATCAAGTTCTATCGGTGAAACATGCTGTTACCAATTTGACCATGGGTAACCATCAAGATAAAACAGGGCTCAATTACCAACTTAAGGAGGCACATTTCGTTTCTTTAGTTGATCTTCTCAAACTAGGTCAGTTGATATGAAGCTCACTGTTTAAGAAAATACAAACAAAGATGTCAACTCAAACATATAGAGCCACTAAAAATAACGTTTATAGCAATCAAAAGTAAGGAAACATGGTATAGTAATGGATAGCGGCTTGGATCAAGGAATCGGAGAACCGAGTTCGAATTCCAGTCAAATCCGTTATATTCACTTATGTGCTAATACCCTTGGGAAAGGTGTGAATCCTCTTCTCCCTTCAGCTATAGGTAAATAGCAGGACAGACCAGGTTCTATAGCCTTGGATGGCAACTGGTCTAGGAGAAAGACAACTCTGAATTCAAAACCTGTGGAGGGTTGTTTGGGGACCTTGTGGCACAGTGGACCAGATCTCTGTATTCGGCCCTTCAAAAAGTGTGGGTTCTGCACAAAGCCTTCACCACTATAATCACATCATAACCCAGAATGGAGCCCCTAAGGCCGATGGACGGCACTTTGTGCTACCTTCCGGCAACTCCTGCAGCCACGTTGGTACCAAACTGTATTGGTTTATCCTCTCCTTTGGACTCTGCTAGCAAGGCTGAGAGGGGGAACTAGACCCCCGGGTAAGCCTAGTTCTCTATATATCCCACCCAGGTTCATAGCGCAATGCGCTACTCCATCTCTTGAGATGGACTGATGACAACGACGATGAATAAAAAGTAATATCAGATTAAATAAATTAATTTAAATACTTGATAATATAAACAGCATAATAGGTACACATTTTCAGTTACATGTTACACATAGACACATGCGTATTTATGCATGCATTATGTATGGGCACATGTGTACACATTATGTGTACACATGCACGCCTATGCACATGTTACATATTGTTATGAATTTGCAACATACAGAGATATGAACCCCAGGTTCAAAAAATAAAAAGATGGGTTTGCTCAGATAGGGTCATATGATGCGATAAACAACAAACACAAAATGAACATTTATAAATAATTTTAAATAATAAAAACAATAGAATGGAAAGTGTATGGAATAACAGACATAAAAATCAGTGAAAGACACTTATCTGATACTGGGTGTTAGTTCAAGCATTCGTGTTTCAGGAATTTGTAAGTTAAAATCTTCATAGTGGGAAATAGAATCTCTTTAAAATGTCCAAATAAACGTTGGTAGTTCTTTCCACAACGTAAGTTGAACAACTCTGGAATGGTATGTTTACTTCATTTCTCCTCTGGCAATCGAATTACATCCACAATGAAATTGGGATGATATCTTTGGGTATAATATACTTTTATTCACTACACATTATGTAGTTGAATAAATCCACAGTCTTTGAGAATGATATCTCATTATTCCTTACACAACAAGTAATAGAAGTAAGTTCATAGGCGCATCTCTCATGAATGCATGATGAGAGTCGATTTACTCACAACCTGTCACAATCAGAGATTATTGGAAAACTGAAACTACAACACAAAACTCCCACTTGGTGATGAATGTCACATGGGCTTGAGTGACTGACTTTTACTTACTCCCTTAGGATGTCAATCTAGTTGTCAAGCAACACAGATTCTTTCCCGTCATTTCTTGGTCTAGGCAGGGAACGAAGAAGAAAAGAAGAAAAGAGAAAACACAAAGACAGCATGTTCCTTAATCAATCATACATCTGATTTAAGATTCAACATTGAGGGCCATGTCATAATATAGACACATGTTTGCCTAACTTATAGACAAATGCCCGCCTATGCATGTGTTGCGCATAGACAAATATATTTATATACGTGTTATGCATAGACAAATGTGTTTATATACGTGTTATGCATAGACAAATGTGTTTATATACGTGTTATGCATAGACAAATGTGTTTATATACGTGTTATGCATAGACAAATGTGTTTATATACGTGTTATGCATAGACAAATGTGTTTATATACGTGTTATGCATAGACAAATGTGTTTATATACGTGTTATGCATAGACAAATGTGTTTATATACATGTTACATACATTGAGTTCAAACAAAATTTCATAGCTTTAAGTGAATTTCAAAGACAATATTTATTCATTTTTACATCAATTCATTCCATTACTTTTGTCCCGGTACCTTTTTTGCCATATTTAAGGAAGCTTTGTGCTTCCATCCTTCCAGAACTCTGAATTTCTCTGGATGATGAACTGCTCTAAATGGTTTTCGCAGGCTTCAAGGAAATTGAAATTCTCATTAAGAGAATTGGTAATCCAAAGGTTCAAGATCAGGTTGCCATAGGACATCCAGTATAGTGGTACCAATTTTTGTTTGATTTGCAATGAGACCTGAGGTCTGGTGCTGTCCAGATAGAAGATGACACCCAACACACCTTATGATTGTGCATCCTCACTTAATAGCAGAGGCAAGAAGGAGGGGAAAAAAAGGAAGTGTCTTGATCAAGTAGACATCTGGATATTCCTTTGACTCTTAATGCAATGAAGGTGCCTAACATGGTGCAGTCATTAAAAACAAATTCTCTTCCAAATCGATTTGACATTGCTGCAAGTCAATTCTCCCTATGACCTTGTGCCAGAATAATTTTTTTGTGAATAAAAGTTTTTTTTTTTAATATTGCTCCAAGGCTTGAAAAGAACATCTATGAAGCAATATGTCTTTGATATAAGAAAATTTGCTGATTGAATGTGCAGATTATATGGGCAATTACTGTAGGCCAGGCAATATTAGGTGTCCTTGCATGTGTCAAATGGAGATAAACCATAGATCAGAGATCATTCATCATTCAAAATCTGGGTTTCATATCAAACTGAAGCCAATCTTCCAACAAGTAAATAAATATAAAGCCCCAGAATGCCAGTTTAATGATCAGCCTGGTTGGGCAGGTGACTGGCTAACAAAGCTCAAATAAAAACTAATAAATCAAGAACAAAGCCAAACAGAGTAGCAGCTTCAATGTCATTTGTTTGAAGAGGCCAGAAATGGCCAACGGTGTAACATGATATTCTTCTCAGGAAATAAGTATCTGTTACAGTTGTTAGCTCAGATGAGCAAAGGCACAGAAAATGAATAAGATGTTGTTATTTATAAACTGAAGGTCCATTGATATTAGATGACAAAAAAAAAAAAAACATCAATGCAGATCATATTTTCAGGTTAGTTAAATTGTAAAATCCTAAAATTAAGTCAAATAATGGAAGTTCGGGGGGAGGGGGAGAAAGAAAGAGAAGGAGTGAAAGAGAGAAGGAAAAAGGAGAGAGAGAAGGAAAAAAGGAGAGAGAGAAGGAGTGAAAGAGAGAGAGAAGGAGTGAAAGAGAGAGAGAAGGAGGAAAGAGAGAAGAGAAGGAGGAAAGAGGGAAGAGAAGGGGGAGAGAGAGGAAGAGAAGGGGGGAGAGAGGAAGAGAAGGGGGAGAGAGAGGAAGAGAAGGGGAGAGAGAGGAAGAGAAGGGGGAGAGAGAGGAAGAGAAGGGGGGGAGAGAGAGGAAGAGAGGGGGGAGAGAGAGGAAGAGAAGGGGGAGAGAGAGAGAGGAAGAGAAGGGGGGAGAGAGAGAGAGGAAGAGAAGGGGGGAGAGAGAGAGGAAGAGAAGGGGAGAGAGAGAGAGAAGGGGAGAGAGAGAGGGGGAGAGAGAGAGAGAAGGGGAGAGAGAGAGAGAGAAGGGGAGAGAGAGAGAAGGGAGAGAGAGAGAAGGGAGAGAGAGAGAGAGAAGGGGGGAGAGAGAGAGGGGAGAGAGAGAGAGAGAGAGAGAGAGGAAGAGAAGGGGAGAGAGAGAGAGAGGAAGAGAAGGGGAGAGAGAGAGAGGAAGAGAAGGGGAGAGAGAGAGAGAGGAAGAGAAGGGGAGAGAGAGAGAGGAAGAGAAGGGGAATAGGGGAGGGAGATAAAAAAAGTGGGAGAGATATATAGAGAGGGAGGGAGAGTTTAAGTTTAAGTGTTTTTTAACGGCATATCTCTTTAGAATCATTTTATGCCAAAACTGATTTATTTTGGTTTATATTTAGGGAAAAATAGACTATCTCTGTTTTTCAAATTTTCAGTTGTAATCCAACTGATTTCAGGAATGTTAGAATTTATTTCAAAATGTTTTAATAGTTCTTTTGGGCTGCTTTGAAGAAAGTGTGTTTTTTTGAATGAAAATCAATGCATTCAATTAGAAAATGTTTCACCGTATATTGGGTTTGGCATGTAAGACACCATGATGGTTCTTCTTGTTCCAGGAAGAATGAATGTATAATTTTAGTGTGACCTATTTGTAGTCACGTTATAGTAACCTCTTCCATTCAGGATTTTCCATAAGGACAGGGTTTTTTTTTTTCCTGGGGGTTGGTAAGACTGTATTTAGTTTATTTGGGTTTTTTTCTGCTCCATTGTTCTTGCCAGTGATTTTGCATGTATTTCTTAATGGCTTTAGATCAGTCTATGGGATTTGGTCATTTTCAGAAACTAGTCTATGGGATTTGGTCATTTTCTGAAAGTAGTCTTAATGCCTGTTTAGCACTTTTGTCTGCTCTATCATTGTCTTAAATTCTAACATGGCTAGGAATCCAGATGAACAGAATTTTTTTGAAAGTCAAGAGCGCATGGATTTTTTCCAACATTTTCAAAGAGTTTTCCAGCTGTTTGTTTTTGAAAGATATTAATACTGATATGAGAGAGAGAGAGAGAGAGAGAGTTGTAATAAAAATATTTTTCTAACTTACATATCCAACTTCCCCTATTTTATTACTAACAATTGCATTAAAATTGACCACTGATCATCCATTTCTTCAGGATTTTTAATGAAGACTGCGTGATAAAACTTTCTCTTCAAAATTCAGGGGTTGATTCATCAAATTTTGTGCACTAATTTGCATTCCTTTATTGTTTTGAGAATAGCCTTGGGGGGGGGGGAGAATTGAGGTTTTCATGATGTACACTTCCTATTCTTAAACTTTTTGTGCACATTTTGCATGATTTTTTTCAGCAAAAGATGACATAGGTAGGTCTTCGCAGTCCAAGGAAGACGGCCGTCTGGTAGCCCTTTGCAGTTTCATGGTAATCAAGCACATAATATAATTCATCTGGACTTTGATAGAGCAATTATCCTCCTCCTCCGATTTTTTTTTTTTTTATAAATCCTACCCATGATATCAGATGTTACATAAACTGCTCACAATAAAGAAGTTCATAAAGTGAGTCACTGACTGACATCAGCTGATTTATTGATGTTTACGAACAACCCATCTTGGTGCTGATTGGGCTGAAGTAATTTACAAACATTGTCATCAATCTTTGTCGGTTAATCTTATCCTCTATATCAGATTCATGCCTCGACAAACTCAAATTCATGATAGTATAAAAGCAATTCACAGACAAAACAAATTTTATTCTTTCACTGTTAAATCATTCAACATAGCAGTAAAAGGTTCAGACATTATTTTAAAAGGTTTAGTCATTATTTTAAAAGGCATTATTCTAAACCTCATAATCAAGACTGCATATGTTGTAATTATTTATTTGGGAATAGTGAAATGCAAAGTGGTATCAGAAAGTCCATGGATTGCACGTGCTTTGATTGTACCATTCAATGGGCTGTGGTACTCATTGGTACCCAACCTAACAAGTCAGTCTGCTTTGTGCAATCCACTTCTATTCAATTATTGCACAAAGTCGAAACTACTCTGCAATAATTACAATGGCTGACAAATTCAAACAACAAGGCTTTTATAGAGAAGCTCTTGAAATGCTTTGTTCAGCTTTTGACAAAGATTGTTTAGGGAATTTAAGCCACAATATAGATGACTGGCTGTAGAGAACATATGCAGTAGCAGCCAGCAACTTAAATTGATGCTGTCAAAAAGAAACTTCTTTTTTTACCTTTGAATAGGGTCACAATCCTAATAGGAAGCACTCCTCTCCAATCACTTGGGCTTATGGCCACATCACGTTGAAACACTGGTTCTTGTACAATCACTCAAGTTAAACCTGGTCAATACCTCAATGGGTGACTATTTGGGAATACCAATTTCTGTAAGTTTAGATATACAAGTTGTATAATGGATAACAGCTTAGGACTGGAAATTGGAGAGCTAAATTCCAATTTCAGTTGGGTTTGTTATATTCACTTAAGTGCAAATACACTTGGAAAAGTTATGAATCCACCTTTTATCCCCACAGCTATGGATTAATTAGTATGACATATCAGTAAAATCATTGTTATTTCCCCCAAATTACAATCTAAAAATATTTTCTATCTTTAAATAACCTGCAAAAGGTCAGTAAACCATAAAAAACAAATCAATCACTAAAACTCTCCAGTCAATCAGTAAGTGATACTTTTTTCTTTGTTGTTAATGAAAGGCGACCTGTTTCCACAGACAGGATTTTTATTTATCCTATTCCCATTTTATGAAATAAACATCTCAGAAAAATTTTGATTTGTTATGCATTTGAAATTATTCAGTACTTTTATGGAAAATATTTTTTGGTGGTTTAGATACTTCCTTGGCAAATGTCCATTCTACAACAATTGTTTAAGTCAACCACAGGTTTTGTCTAGCATGCTGTATGTAGCTTCTAGATGACAAGTATTCAAGACATCTAATCACCAGCGGAAGGCAAAATGTATGGTCATCAGTAAAAGGATGAGCCCAAAATGCAATTTGCAGGTTGGGAAACACTAGAATCAAGCAGATGCAGAAGTTTAAATATCTGGGAAGCATCTTGACAGAGGACGGTAAGTGTGACACTGAAATCCATAGGCATATTGGGATGACCAAGGACACATTTCAAAAGCTGGGCAGAGTATTGCAAGACAGGAGGATTTCTTTGGTAAGTGTTTTTTCAGTTGGGTTTGTTATATTCACTTAAGTGCAAATACACTTGGAAAAGTTATGAATCCATCTCTTATCCCCACAGCTATGGGTTAATTAGTGTGACATATCAGTAAAAGCATTATTTCCCCCAAATTACAATCTAAAAATATTTTCTATCTTTAAATAACCTGAAAAAGGTCGGTAAACCATAAAAAACAAATCAATCAATAAAATTCTCCAGTCAATCAGTAAGTGATACTTTTCTTTGTCCAGAAATGTAAACTTTTGTACACCAACTTTGTTGTTAATGAAAGGCGAACCTGTTTCCATAGACAGGATTTTATTTATCCTATTCCTGTTTTATGAAAAACATTTTTTAAAAAAATTGATTTGTTATGCATTTGAAATTATTCAGTACTTTTATGGAAAATATTTTTTGGTAAATATCCATTCTACAACAATTGTTTAAGTCAACCACAGGTTTTGTCTCACATGCTGTATGTAGCTTCTAGATGACAAGTATTCAAGACATCTAATCACCAGCGGAAAGGCCAAATGTATGGTCATCAGTAAAAGGATGAGCCCAAAATGCAATTTGCAGGTTGGGAAACACTAGAATCAAGCAGATGCAGAAGTTTAAATATCTGGGAAGCATCGTGACAGAGGACAGTAAATGTGATACTGAGATCCGTAGACATATTGGGATGTCCAAGGACACATGACAAAAGCTGGGCAGAGTATTGCGAGACTGGAGGACTTCTTTGGTAACAAAAACAAAAAAGAATACTGAGCTGTTACATGACATCTGTCCAATCTTTACACCAGCAAATGTTGGACATTTTCCTCAAGGATGAAGAGACTTGAGGTGACAGAGATATGATTCTACAGAAGGATGCTAAGGACATCATGGGCCAAGCGTGTGAGCAACGATGAGGTCTTAGAGAGAATGCAAACAAGGAGGAGGCTTATACTTAACATCAGAAAGAAGCAGCTGAAGTTCCTGGGATACATAAGGAAGGAGGGCCTAGAGAATCTGATACTCACGGGTCAAATAGAGGGAAAGAGAGACAAGGGAAAACAACACGTGACATACCTGGCGAGATTGGGCAGGTGGATGACAGAACATGGTCTGGGAGAGGTAGTAGGGAGAAAACTTGTTGAGAGCTGCAAGGGATAGACAGAGGTGGAGAGCCATGATTGCCTACGTACTGAAAGGATATGGCACATAAAGATAAAAGAAAGAATCACCAGCAAAAAAAAAAAAAAAAAAAAAAAAGGAAATGTAGAAAAAAAACTAACTCATCCATGACGATAACTGCCAAACAATACATCAGTTCTCTAACATGATTGGAATCAGTTATAGTTAAGTATGTACTAATCTATTCAATATCATCTTGTACATATATATGTTGGTATATCAATCGTGACAAAAACAACTTAACCCAATACTTTTCCATTAATCATATAAATAAAACAAGACTAACCCAGAAAGTTAGTTATTGCAGAATCTTAATCTCAAAACAATCAGTCCTTTCCTCTACCATTTACAAATTAAGTATACAGACTGGCTGCAATGCAGATGAATGCAATTCTAATTAAAGAATGCCTTCTATAAAAGACAAATTATTTCAGTCACAGACCGGCAGAACTGGATTAAGGCCAACAGGTACTCTAAGTATAGCGCCCCAAAATAGCACTTCCTCTTTAGTTCACCCATGTTAACAGCTCAGCCTAGATTAACTCCATTCAATTTCATAAAACAATATTCATATAGATTAAAATGAATACCTACTTATATTGTAAATAATAATAAAAATCAATAACACCTATCAAAATGCATAAAATTACTAGACCTTAGAGCATTTCAAGATAAGCAAAATTTATTTTTTTATCAAGAAAGAGCTCAATAGAGCGACAATAGTCAATAAATTAATAAAGGTTGAAATGACTTTCAACCAACTTCGAAATTCCATGGAAACCCTGCTAGAGGTAGAAAAACAAACTTTGAAATCGGTCAAAAGATAAGTCATTAGAATCTTTATTAACTTACTAGCATTAAAACCGCCTTATTGGTTGTTGAACTTTGAAATGACATAACAATTTTGATTTCAGATTATTGTGATTGACTGATTTGGTTGTTTAATGGCGCAACAAATCTTTATGGGTCATT